TTATATATGAAAACCCGTGTATCGCAGGGACTTTCATATAATAATAATAATAATAATAATAATAATAATAATAATAATATAGTAAATTAGTAATGCATCAAGGTGTTTGACATGAAGTACACCAATACTAAGAGAGTAAGAGCTTGTAGTATAGTACAAAGTGTGTCACAAGATGAGAATTAAGTAAAAAATAATGTTAAGAAAATGGAAAACACTCAGTGCTATTTAATTGTCTTTTCTTATTGAGTAAAAAGATAACCTTAGGACTTCAATCAGCTTAAAGAGCAGAGCAGTATTTTTCCATGCACAAGATCACGACTTCTTGATTGCAGCACCAAAGTGTCCCTTAAGTTGTATTGTAAATATATCACTCGAATACTTGTGTATTGTACTATTGTTAGGCATTTAGGAGACTGGAGACTGCATGTGCTTCAACTATTTCTTTTCCTTGCCGCTTGGATGAGAAAAATGTATGTGGTCGCTACCATTTGCTTCTGAATATTAGTCTTGCTCTTATCTTTTATGCATCTGTAGTGTCAAAATACGTGTGCTAGTATCTGGCTGAGGGAAATGCCTTGTGCTCATACATTTGCTGACCGACTTAAGCATAACCATGTAATAAACTAATCAAATGCTGCCTGGAGATATCTAGCATCAGATATCTTAAGTGTTACCTCCGTTTCATATTATTTGCAACGATTAGACATATTTCTTCTCTACTTTATGTCAAATTGTTGCAAATAATATGAAACAAAGGTAGTATAAAATACCAGTAACACTTTGGGATGAATGTGTTGAATCTCAACTCATGCTTACAAAGTAGTAACTAGCAGCTGACTGTGTTAAGAAGACTACATATAGTCATATATTACTCAATTCTCATAATAGTACCATCACTAGCTCCTCTTTGCTAGGCTTTAATTTGTCTCACTTTGTATGCCATGTGCGTCGATAGTGTATCATAAATTATCACCTTCTCGTAAAACAATGTTCTGTGTCAACTTATCTAATACTCCGTACTAATTGGTTGAGACCACAAGTCCACAAATGACGCGATATACTCATCATATTTCCCATGACTATAGGCTTATATTATTACAAAGTTCCGTGTCAACTTATCTTAGGTATTACTATATGCATGACTGCAAGCTCAACCCAAGCAGGCTTTATCTTCAACTCCAAAGCCTGAAACTTTCAAACTAAACAACATCCTGCCAATTTCCCGCCTAAAACTAATGCTTGCTTATTGATCAATATTTTTCCCAGACAACTTCCAAATTCCCTTGCCATTTTCAAGATGATGCTAAAATCTGCACTCTCATTTTCTCTCTCCAAAAACCGAATTCGAAAATCTCACTCTCTAGCTCCATCAACTGAATTTCCCGCCAATTTCCAACCAACCAATGTTACCACATTCTCTCATCTGCTAAGGCAACGTCCTTCTCTCCCACATTTGAAGCAAATTCACGCTCAAATTAATACCCAATCTTTCTCCTCTAATCCCCACTTAATTTCGTCTCTAATTCACTCTTATCTCTCTTCTAATCGTCTAAATTCTGCAATTTATTTGTTTGATAATTACCCTTCTTCCCCAATTCCTACTTTGTTATGGAATTTGATGATAAGGGCTCATTCCAAAATTCGAAATTGTGTGGAACCCATCAAGTATTTGGGTCGAATGTTGTCGAATTCAAATGATGAATTTTCTAGGGTTTTACCTGATGATTATACATTTACGTTTGTAATTACGTCGTGTTCGCATTATGATTCATCTTTGTACGGAGAAATAGTTCATGGGATGATAATAAAATCTGGGTTTGGGTCTCATTTGTTTGTTGGTAACTCATTGATTAACTTCTACTCTGTTTTTGCTAAAGGGGTTGATGCCCGTAAGGTGTTTGATGAAATGTCTGAGAGGGATGTTTTCTCATGGACTAGCCTCCTAGGTGGGTATGTCAAACATGGGGATATTGATAAAGCTTGTAACATTTTTCGTGCGATGCCTGTTCGTAGTGATGTGTCGTGGGTAGTTATGATTTCGGGTCTTGTTAGTAATGAGAGGTACATTGATGCCCTGGATTATTTTCGCGGTATGTTAAAAGACAGTAAGAAGATGAAGCCTAATGAAGCTGCCCTTGTTTGTGCTTTATCAGCTTGTGCTAATTTGGGGGCTTTTGATCAAGGAAATTGGATTCATGTTTATATGGAGAGAAACAATATTCTAGAGAGTCCAAATATATGCACAGCTCTTATTGATATGTATGCCAAGTGTGGGAGGATAGATTGTGCAATTCGAGTTTTTAACAGAATTTCAAAGCGAGATGTTCATAATTTCACAAGCATGATATCTGGTTTGTCAATTCATGGTCTTGGAAAGGATGCTATGAGGGTTTTCTCGGACATGTTGGCTGAGGGTATTAGACCGAATGAGATTACCATGCTCGGAGTTTTGAATGGTTGTAGCCATTCAGGGCTAGTAGAAGAAAGCACCTCTACTTTCAATGACATGGAAAATTTATGGGGGATAGTTCCAAAGATTGAACACTATGGATGCTATGTCGATTGTCTAGCTCGTTCTGGCCATTTGGAAAGAGCATTCAATGTAGTTAAAACCATGCCTATAGAACCTGATGCTGCTATATGGAGGGCTTTGCTTAGTGGATGCAAAACTCATCGCAACATTGTTCTAGGGGAGCAGATATTGAATCATGTTCGACAACTTGGTTCAAGTGGCCAAGTTTTGCTGTCAAGTTTGTACGCCTATATGGGTAAATGGGAGAGTGTTGTTTCAATGAGGAAGCAAATGGGTGGCAGAAGGAATACATCAGAGCTTGGTTGCAGTTGGATTGAGGTGGATGGTATTACTCATGAGTTTCGTGTGGATGATCAACTACATCCTCGAATAATAGAGATTCGAGTAAAGCTTGATGAAATCTTGGAGAAGGCAAAGTTGGGGGGATATGTCACTAATACAACCCCGGTCACATTTGATTTGAGCGAGGAGGATAAAGAACGAGCAGTATCATTGCACAGCGAAAAGTTAGCTATTGCATTCGGATTCTTGAGTACTAAACCTGGGAGTTTGATCAGAATAGTAAAAAACCTCAGGACTTGTGAGGACTGTCACTTAGCTTTGAAGGCAATATCTCTTGTTTTTGACCGAGAAATAATTGTCCGAGACCGGTCACGTTTCCACGCCTTTAAACATGGGAAGTGCTCTTGCAATGACTATTGGTAGTCATTAGTCAATGCATAAGCTAAATCGCGACATAAAAAACAAAGCAGGCGCAAATGATATAATTGCATATCTAGAAGTTCATACCTTTAAAAGCATTACAAAGTGGCATACTCATTACAAGCAAACCCTTTTCGGCGAAACGAGGACCAAGATGTTTTACAAATGAGAAGATGAAATTCAAGCTAATTGGAGCTGTTTTGACCCATTTGAAGGCATGAACACCATCGAGCCACGCCCATCATCAGGTAAAAGCAAAGATTCCTAACTATGATTGCATGTGCATGGTCATCAACTTCATATCATGCTTGGTACCATCAATGATTGCAATTTTAGTCAGCTGATAATTATTTATATTATATGCTCTTCTTATAACATATTCCTAAGTATAGGGACAAATTTTTAATGATACAAAGATATGGTATGTAATGGAATAAGATTAAATGGCCCACATTTAGGATTTTTGTTTATTTCTGTGGGCTCTAAAAGCATCAACCATTATGCACCTAATTGTTCATGCTTACAAAGTGTTTAAATGAGCTGGTTGTGGTTGTCCTTTCTAAAGCTTCATAAAAGTGAGCTATTTTTGTTAACCCACAGCAGAAAGTGAAAGCAAAGCTCTGCTTTTGTTGCCTTAGATGCCCTGTAATACTGAAAGCGAGAGTGAAGTAACGACTTGAACGTTATAAGTTCGGTTTTGATGGCTATTCGAATGTCAAAAATTATGCACATGCATGATGATTGCATATATTCTTGATTTAGAATCTCTAATACTAATATATAATGGATTGTCTTCCCATTGTAAGATCTTCTCTTTAGTAAGCCTAACACAAGTTGTTTGACGCGGATTTAGTGCAAATTCAATTTTTGAAACCCGGAGTTGCATCTAGTGTATATAAGATTTAAGTGAGAAATGGAATGTTGGGAAATGATTATTCTTATATGAATATATGATTCCCCCTCCAGAAATGTATACATGAATAGATATTACAGTTGCTACTTGTTTGGAGAATTATAAGTTAACCAACTTAGCTTATGTTTATTCTTGTTTGGAACATAGATACCAACTGATAACTAGCCCAGTTGAATACCATATTTATTTCTTAATTAAATATAATTATATACGTTATAGTTGTTCAAACAAGCTCTTGTAACATTTACATGAGTTCTATAAAATCCCAAACCAAGTAAACTAAGGTGAAAGGAGTGAAACCTTAATGAAGCAATACTAGCAAGTTGCAAACACTTAAATAAAGCTCTTGATCTTATTCTTTGTTGAAGTAGATCACTGAAAAATAAGTTTTCTGACAGCAATTTTTGCACTTGAAAACTCCTAGTGGACTTAAACTACCTTGTTTTAAGTTTATGACACGAATTATGTATTGCTTTAAGCACACATTTTCTGAAATTTCTGATTTTGGGTTCAAAAATTTGGAAACTGTTTATTCATGTTGCATGCCAAACTGAATAATAATCAATAATAAAGTATGAAAAACTGAAAAAATGCTTATTGAAACCAATTATTAAGGTCTGTAACCGAATTATTCTCCCTTTATTTCTTTTTTTTTGGGGGGGTATGCCTTGATTTTTATTTTCTTTGCTTCTGTCTCACTTTTAGATGGTCCATGCTTTACGCACACCCATTTAGCTGTTTTGATGTTTGAAGTTGTGGAGCATAATTTGTGTGAGGAAAAGGACTTAATGCATCCTATTACCATCACTCTTTTTATGACATCATTTTTATTTTAGAGCAAAAAAACAATGATAATAACAACTAAATTAAGTAATTATCCTCCATAATTGTTGAAAAATTGTCATGGGAATAAAAATAAAGCCTAATTATGAGAAACAAGGATCACTTTGATACAACAATGTCATTTGCATTTTCCTCTGTTAAATATGTACAGTTTCTGCATGACCCGGATCATCATCTTCAAGACCCGGATTTGTTCTTCACTAATCTCCCAAATCCTCAAACCTCCTAATGTTTCGATTTTTCGAGTTTTCAAGATTTTATGGGATGATGGATGCTCAATCCTTATCCTCTGCTTCTCTCCTAGATGAAATGTGATTTTATTGATAACCATTATCAGCTTGTAGCTTCAGATATGCTGTGCAGAGAGGGTTGCCAGTTTTTTGGTCTTACTGTTCCTCCATTTGAGGCTGATGTTGTTCTGGATCGGCTCACATGTCTACTACTAACCTGAAAAATCAAGTTTCATTTTATATAAGTAAACATTTCAAATAACTAATAAATTACACAGATCAATTCAGTGAATTATATTGTTATTGTCCTAAATTAATTGTTCTGGTTTTCTTTCCTAATCAAAAATTTTTAAAACAGGGAAAACAGGGGTAATGGAATTAATGGATTTTGGCTAAAAAAAATTGAGGCCTAGATTAATTTAAGTTTAAATCTTTATTCTTAAGTTAAAAATAAGGAAGAACAAAGTCAACTGATGCATTCAGTGTTTTTTTTTTTTTTTCTGGGATTTATGAACATTTACTTTCCATCCAAAATTTGCTTAAATTTTAGCGAAATAACATTTTGGAGGGATTAATTACCTGATGGGTTTTCTCTGGTTGAGATCTTTTAGCAAATTTCTCAGCTTCTTTGAGTCCTTCAGAGTCTGCTAATTCTATACCATTTTTCTTCAACTTTGCTTGTTTCTTTGCCACCAAACCCTTCATAACTTCTGCAAAACACCCAAAAAATTAGCATGTATTCTTAATTCACCTTACTTCCTACACACTAGCTAATCTGACCCAAAAAAATGAAAGAAAAGGGTAGATAGAAAAACTATCACAAACCTTGAGTACTGATGAGCCTATACACATGACCCAAAGCCAAAGTATCCGTTGGCCGAAGCAGCTTAACTCGAGTAATCCGCACAGTATTCCGCCCATCTACAGTTTCTGTGCTTTTGCTGCTACTCTTATTGTTACTGCCTTTGCTGTTGATGTTGTTTTTCTGGCTGTTGTCGCCGCTGCTGCGGCTGTTGTTGCTGTTGCTGTTATTTTTCTGGCTGTTGTTGCTGGTTTTCTGGTTGTTGGTGTTGGTGTTATTGGTGTGACAAATAGTGGTGGTGATAAGAAGAGCAACATAATGACCAGGGTTGAGTTTCATGATCTCACTTGCAGAAACAGACCAATACAGTTTATCAACCTTACCACTTGGGTGTTGGATTACTAGTGTTGCTGCATCTATGGCTTGGCAATTCCCCATGTTTTTCTCTCTCCTATATCCTGCTTCAGACTTCAGAGAGTTTCAAAACACCAGAAACAAGGAAAGGCAGGGTATTTTTTTTTTCAGCACCTACTTCTTCTTCTTCTTCCTGTTTTTCTCTCTTTCCTCCCCCTCTTTATAGTCAGCACCCACCAAGAGTCTTTAGTAGTAATTCAGAAGTTATTGCATGCCCAGCTGTTTTTTTTTACTAATTACAAGGCTTGCCCCATGTGTTTATAATAATATCACATCTCTCATGTGCGTCCGTTGCACACTATTTGTTTTTGCGTGACATACTACTCCTACTTCTGTGTAAGTTTAGCGTTTTAAAGTTGGTGTTTTAATACTTTGAGCTACCCTTTAATTTAAAACCCGTCATTTATCTACATATACTAGTGTAACCTTAATATAGTCGCTAACAACATAATGTATAAATGCGTAAATATACACTTTTGAATAAGTTAGCATTTTAAGTTTATTCTGATGCTTTGAGCTACCTTTTTGGTAAATTATTTTTAAATACACACGGTATTTCAATATAATTTTAAAACAAATACATGAAGAACCATATCTATTACAAGTACGTACTACTTAGATTATGTTCTTTTGAATTAATTTTCAGTTCATATCTACTCAATTCAACTCGAGTCATTTTAGTTCAAATTTGGCTTAAAAGAATACACACTTTACACATACTTGTATACCCAATGCACCAAAAAAAAGAGTTGTACCTATTAATTTTCACTATGCCTGAGTAAGTATGACAACATCATATACAGTATAGGAAGTATTTTTTTTTTCTCTAACTTTGAGGTTCTAATATAGTAAATTTACAGTTTTGCCCCTGCTCCATGTGAGTGTGATCAATGAGCTGTAAAAATGTAAATTAGGACAGAAAGATGAGATCAGATCATCTGGAATGTTTATAATCAGACCTAAAGCTTACTATTTAGGGTAACTATTACTGGTAATTTTGTACTTAATTTAGCCTCATTACATGGAAAGATTCTAACCTGCTACTTAAGAAAAATTTAAAAAAATAAATAAAAAGCTGGGTAAAAAGCAATACTTTGGGTCCGTTACTAGTGCCTAGTGGTGGTGGTAGTGATTGTCACGTGACTGGTATGCAGTAGTGATTGACATGCTATATCTTATCTTATTGGGTGAAATAAAATTTTACTCATTTTTTAGAATTTTTTGTGGAACTTTTACATGCAAATCAAGAAAGTTTTGTTAGACACTAATTATTACCAAGTATTACTATTGTTATTATTTTTATTATTGTTAAAAACTTATAGCATCACGTTGTTTAGTCTCCTTTGGATTCTTGGGTCTTCCTTGGCTCCTCCAGTCTTTAGGCTTGAAATGATTTTTGTATGGTTAGTTGGTTACCTTTCATATGACCATGAATATTTCATGGTGGGGTTATGTATGATGTTAACATTAAGAATTGCGAGACTGTATCAATATTTTCAACCACTAAAATATCATGATCGTGTTAGAGAACAAATGTTATCAATTTGGCTCTAGGTTTACTATAGATTAATCTTGATTTGCATCATGTCCATTGCTATGCATCAAAGGACTACCAGCTGTAATCAAAGGAAGGGTTAAGTGTTTTAAGTCAACTTGAAAATGTAATCTTGATGTTGAATCGATTTAATGAAAGCATAATTGACATAATCATCACTTGGTTTAAAATGTTACAAACATAAAACATATTTGGCCCTCTTTGTTTCAGCTTTAGGATAGATATAGGAAGATACCAAACAAGCACAAAAAAGATTGAGAAGTTGGAGAGGATCCTATGAAAGAACCAAGTGAGGTTTTAGGATGCTTTACTTAGGGACGTTAGGGCACCTCATGATTAGTTTCGTGTTAATTGGATTTTAACTGTTTAGATTTTAAGCCAAGTTGATTCATAAACGCACAAAGAAAGATCTCAATACAAATAATATTGCATTTGTACTTATGTCTCAAGCTCAAAACAATCTAATTAATTAAAAACAATTCATTTATTTGTTGATTCAACTCATTCAAACATGTAACATATTCCGTAATAGTTACAAGGTGTTTTTTAAATGCTTCAACCACTCAAAATACCCTATACACAAGCATGAAAAATGTAATGTTTGAAACGTATTAGGACCCCATGTAACCTCACACATGACACCACTCACCTTCCCCTCAAAGTGTGTAGTTCGTCATAAGTGCTTGTCGCATGTGAGAAAGCCCTTTTATTCTCACACGTTCACAATTGTCCTTTCCATATCATAGTCTTCACCCTTGTGAGATAATTTCATGACCTACCCACCCAATCATGTATTATCAAAAATATAATACATTGGATGCGTAGATTTTAAATCAAGAAAACCTATTAAATTAACAGTGTTTGCATAGATATTTTGAGTATCTTGCATGTATATCAGTATATGCCAATATAGAGTTGATAGAAGTTGACATGAGCACACGACCTAACAATTCAACATAAAGTTTGGATCAAGGTTTCCACTAGTATTGAGACCGTTTTCTAAATTGAAATTGGTTCAATCGAGTCTAGTTTCAATTTTGAAAAATACAATTAGGTATCTGAATCCTACTTGCCTTTAATTTCTAATGAAGTTTTGCATTGTTATGTTATATCCACTCTATCTCAAATTAATTATCACCCTTTTTAAAAAAAAAAAAAATCTAAATACATTTTTATTAATTTTCTCTTTACCTATACCCCTATCATGAAACTCATATAGGTTATATGCTTATATCAGTCACAACCTTTTTATCCGCTACTTTTTTTAATGTGTTGAAGTGATTACGACAATAAATATATATATATATATACCTCTGGGAATAAAAAGTTATTCGTGGTATGATTTTATCTTTCTATTAGTCGCTCTTAAGACTATGTTTAACATTATCTTTCCGTAAATGAAGACAAGAGAAGAACGGGAAAGGAAAGGATTAAGGCTAAGCATGAATTTTACATAAAAATGTCTTTTACAACGATGCAAAATCACCTTTGCAAGAGTGGTGGACAAAATAACATAGGACATTGTCGTCTTACGCTTCATCAAAGACACGACGTCGTTATCTCTTGTACCTTTGTCTTATAGAATTTGCTTTTTCGTTTTGTATTTGTAAATTGCATCTTTCTTTTTATTTTTGACAATCTCCCACTAAACTAAAATGTCTGCTTACTTGATTTCTACCTTTCAATTTTACTTTATTCTATTCTGATTTTTCAATTTTCTTAACCTTTTAATAATCCAGATTTTTCTTTAATTGGTTCTTTTAATTGTTCCTTTCTTTTTGCCAAACAGATTTGATGTTCTAGCAACAATTATATTGGAAGATGTTTATACTTTGTCTCTTGGTGTTGTGGTTCACTATGGTTAGTTGAGGTTTAATCTCTTGCCAGGCTTTAATTTTCAATTGGTATTGGAAGATTCACATATAACGGTCTAGATCATAAGAAAAAAATTTGTTTTTTCTTTAATGTATTTCTAGTAAAATTCACGGCGAGTAGTTTGATTGGTTATAATAGCAATGAGATGATACGTACAAAGAGTGCATTTTAATCACCTTACAAAATAAGTTTTGTAGTTGATCAGGTCTAATAAGATATTTGAATATAAGGTGAAAATCATGTTTAATTTAGTAAATTAAATTTTAGATAACTTCAAGTGAAGAGAGTATTGTAATTGTCTATACTCTATATTACTCCCGGTATATGTGTTTTGCTTCTCAAATTAGCATCAATACTCTAGGAGGGAGACTGTGAATAAAAGCATGTGCTTAAAGGCGAGAAAGTATTTTCATGGACAAAATCAATGAATGTTTTTTTACAAAATCATTATACATTCATGATCGTTATTGCAGTTTATTTCCAAACAGTGAATTGGTGGTACATATTATTGCATTTAATTTGATTCTTATGATTACATATAATACAATAAACTTCAATTCTATGAAGTACAATATTTACTTATTGGGATCTTTATTATTTGCTTATGTAAATTTATCTTGAAATATTAAAATGGTGAACACACACAACACAAGTTAGATTCATAAGAAAGGCTAAGTTAAAGAATTCCAGAGAAGAATCTTTTCCAATCAAATGTATTAATCCCCTTTAACCATTCTACTTTATGCAATAATTTATAAAGAGGATATGACTCTAGGAAATCTAATTTACCTAGAAAATCACTCAAAAATTCTTTATAATTAAACTTTTAAACATATCTCTTTATTCCCTCCTTACCTTTATTTTCTACGAAGTATTTTCCAGACACCAATGTAGAATTTTTTTTTATTTTTAATTTTATTTTTCTGACCATGAATGTCCATAAAATCAAATTACTTAAACAAGATAACCAATTATTAATCTTTTTTCTGATTCTGGGAACTTAGTGGTGGAAGAGAACTAGCAGAACTTTCCTGGAGGTCGGCTACATAATCACTAATTAAGATAATATAATTAATTAATTCCCTCAAAAAAATAACCTTACAAGATTATGTATTTTAAAGGATGAATATCATGAACTTTATGAGATAGTGTTACAAAGTAATACACATGTAGATATTGTATATACTCAGTCACTTAATATTCCACATTGAAATGAGTGGTAGATGAGATTCGAACTCGTGATCTTTGTGTCACATTAGCTTTTGACAACCTGTTAATTGGTTGACTTGATGGTTGAAACACAAGATCAGTTTATATACTCTATCATTATACAATTAAATCTACAGCTAACGACTTTGTTGCTGGAGTGTGGCATAAATACTAGAAGTTCAAAAGTTTCAAGTTCAAATTCATGTCATGTGATTTCGAAAAGTGTTCAGTTTTTAAGTTCGATTTTCAAGTCGGATAGCCACATTTCAATTACTAATTTAATGTCCGCATATGTGTGGAGAGAGTGATTCATTCAAGGGAATACTAATTAGTACGAGTAGTTTTTACACTAAACTAGCTTAGCTTGTTAAAGTTGTTAATAATTTGGATAAAAAAAATATATATATATTAATGTTCAGCAAGTTGCCCTATATTGAAATAGGAAAATATTTAGAGCAAATTGCCACATATTGAAATAGAAATAAATTTAGAGCAAAGTGTGCCATATTTAATAATCTACCCCATATATTGACTTCTAAATAACAACAAGAGTCAAATTGCGTATACTAAATACTAATCAATCAAAATAAATGTTGTATCTCTT